GCTGAAAGCAATCCCTCAGCAACTGGTTGAACACTACTATGAAAACCAGTGCCTCTTGAACCACTGGTTTTTGGGAGGGGTTCCTTTTTTTTCTATCTTTGTTGCCTGTTTTTAACTTTCACTGATGTGGTGAATGTAAAATGTCCTCTTCTGCTCGTCATCACTTTCTTCTTTCATCTATAGTCAGTTCTATATACTGATCACCTCTAGATAATCTTTCACAACATAGAAACATCACAAATCCCTTATAAAGAAAGCATAACTTAATAAACCCCTTATGTCTTGGCTCTGTTACCTATCCACAGTAGCATAACAAGAGGGTGACCGAGGCAGCAGCCCCAGAAGCTGCCATTGTGGGGGCAGTAGAGAAACATTTGTTGCAGTGACAGCTGACCATGCTGCCTCCCTCAGCACCACAGCAGCCAGCGCTGCTCCATGTGTTGCAGCTGCCCCAGGAATAGAGCTGCTGTACTATGTCTCTGCCTATGCAGATATGAAAGGAAAAGCATTTGGAGTAGACATCTGAGAATGAACTGGAGAAGTCATGTTATTTTGAATCAGATTAGTTTCTGTTGTTGAATGTTGGTGAGATCCCCCAGAAATAAACCTCTAGAGGCAGAAATCTTTGAGGCTTAAGGTTGTAGCAGGTGAAAAAAGCCATGTAAACCTTTCCTAAAGAAAGAAATCCTATGAGGCATAGCATTGTCAGTGTTGCCGCTGGGTTCTGGTTAGGGGTGCACAGTTCAGTTACAAATGGATCTCATATGGAACCTCTGGTTGAAGTAGAAGCTGTCCTGCCCCAGCAGAAATCTCCAAAAGAAACAAAGTAATGGCATTACAACTCTTGGATTCAGTTGCATCCTCTTACTCGGAGGAGTGCAACTTTTTTTTGGTTCTGAGATGGGAGAAGCAGTCATGTACTTTAAAAAAAAAATCTTGTTGTATAGTTTCTTATGGGGTTTTCATTATCTTACTGCTTTATTGCTAAATCATAAGGGCATAATAAACATACACACAATATTTATATATAGCATATTAGTATTTCTCTTTTACTTCTGCTCAATATCAAGATTTATTAATCCCAACATGATGTTGATTTCATTTTCACATCAATTAATAGTTACCACTTCAGTTCATCTCTGTACCAGTCCCAGTGTAAGTCAATATTTTCTTGAATTGAACATAAATTCTATTCAAAACCTATAAGAACAAAATATTATGACTTTATAGCTAAAGACTCAAAAGCCAGGCAACAGCACATATTAATGGTGATCTTTCTTCATATATACTGGGATATAGGCCAAGGTTTGAAAATTGGTTCCTAAAATCCATATTTAAACACTTAGATGACCTTATTTTTAAAAAGTTATGAACACCCCAAGCTGCCATTTATCTCAGTAGCAAGGATTACATGCTCAACATGTTTGAAAATTAAGCAGCTTCACTTTGTTTCTGTTTTTGCAAACTCAGCCAGTCTTTAATTATTTAGCACATAATATTCCTCTAATTGAATATTATAATGCGAGACAATTTTCCTCACAAAGATACACACATTTGAAAATGTATTTACCTTTATATATTCCTGCTCTAGTTTTATTCTCAAAATAACATGACACTCCTATATTAAGTGAGGTACAGATCCATAAATAGGCTTAGGCACCTACAGTGGGACTCTCATGGAATTTAGGGGTGTTTATACATGTGCTCTGGGAATGGGGGCGGGGGACAATTTAATTAGAGCAGCTCTGAGAGCCACTGCAATTAAAGCACCTGGTGTGTCTCATGTATCAGCGTCCCCACATTTAAAAATTGTGGTAGGAGCATTTTATCTAAAGCTTGTCAAATTAACTTTAGATAAAGCGGCCCTGCCACCATTTTTAAGAACTGGGATGCTGATACATGAGATGCTGGAGGCTGCTGGAGTGCAGTAATTACCACACTCCAGCAGACTCGATTAATTTAGTCTGCTGCAATGCACTGTAATAACAGTGCATCGGCGTAGCCTTGATGCTCATGTATAGGTGCCCAAAATGTGTAAAAGTGTGACCTTCCAAAGGCCCTGCCCAACCCCACAGGTACCTAAGTTTTGCCAACAAAGTTTCCCAGTTTTGCTCTCCAGTTTTGCTTATGCATAGCTATCTTGTCAGGGAAGAGCAGGGTCCTCAATAAGGGTGTGCAAAATGGGCCCTATTCGATTCAGATTTAGCCTGAATCAGGAACAGTGATTCGATTTGATGATTCAGATCAATGTCCCTGAACAGTGATTCGATTTGTTGATTCAGATCAATGTCCCTGATTCGATTTGGCTGAATCCGAATCTGAAGATTTACTCCTGATTCAGAGAATCAGTGATTCGGCTGTAGACACAGCTTTAAATGTTTTTTCTACATACTTCAAGGTACCAGGCATGGCTCATGAATGCTGTGATGCTGGGCAGATGGAGCATCCCACAGGAACATGGCAGGGGGGCTGCGTGCTCGGTAGCGAATCCAGAAGTGAACGAGAACTACTTCCGGTCCGCTTCTGGGTCCACCAGGGAGCACCCAGGGGGGCCCCTCTGACCTTCCTCCAGCTTGGCAATTGGCTCTGGGGGGGACCCTGGGTGTCCCCCCAGACCTGGAAGGCACCAGTCGCCGAGCCTGGAGGGTGTGGGGGGGCGGGCCCTGTGCGCTCCCTGGTGGACCTGGAAGTGCTTCTGGTCCACTTCTAGGTCTGCTGCCAAGCACACTGGGAAATCTCCTGCGCTCCTGTGGGACGCTCCATCTGCCCCAGCATCGCAGCATTCATGAGCTGCCTGGTACCTTGAGCTATGTAGTAAAAACATTTAAAGCTGTGTCTATGTCCAATTCTCTGAATCTTTCCAGATATCTCCGAATCAATTCAGAGGGTTCAGATGTAATTTGGAGAGATTAAAGGGTCTCCTGATTCAATTTGGATCCAGAGATTCAGCCACCGAATTGGGCGAAACCTCCACCGAATCAAATCAGCGACTGAAGCTTTGCACAGCCCTAATCCTCAAGCGTTTGTTCCTCTACCCAAGTTCCCTGAAAAGTTCAGTGCCGTAGATGTGTGAAGCAAAAACTTAAAACATTTCTACAGGATTGATCTTGCACAAAACCTAGTGCCCATGTCCACAGACACTTCCACTCAAAATAAAGATGGGAGTTGGGGGATTAAGGAGAGTGGAATTTAAATAGTGATTGCATAAAAAGTATAAACAGCCTTCAGAGCAGGGATCATGACCAAGGTCTCCTCTTTCCCAAGTGAGTGCCCTGAACTCTAGGCCAGAAAGTTATGCTCCTTTTGCTCCCTCTCCTTGGCCCAATAAATTATTACCTTTTTTTTTTTGCAAAGTGTAAGAGCTTCACTTGGAAAGGTAGAGAACATCCCCCACCACAGAAAAGCCAAGAGCCTGAACTGCTCTCTTGAGAGGGGAGAAATGTGATTTTGAAGAGGCTGCAGCCTGAGAAGGACAGTGACCAAAGCACTACCAACTCCTCTGCAAGTGCTATAATCGCTAAGCTACTATATAAAATAGGCTATCATTTAAAATAAAGGAGGGGCCTCCATCTCTGAAAAGAACAAGTTAGCCACCTTTCTTTACCACAGGAGAGTATTCACAGCTATGAATTTCACTCTGACATTGGTGACTCCCACCTAAGCCCCAGTGTGGGGAAAGGATGAAGACCAACCCCTGCATTTAGCTTTTCCTATTGAATGTTTCCTGTTCACCATGTTAGTTATTGTAAATCACACTGCAAGGCACCTACCTAACTGATCCCTTTGCATTGAATAGAAAGCATAGGTTGGAAAGCCAGGTAGTCCCTTTGGTAGATATAGCCAGAAGTATTGGTTTGAAACCTTACAAGGTGATTTAGCAGCAAATTAGGGCCAGCAATGTAACCTTACTGGCCTAGGCCCAGAACAGAAAATAAATCGAATGCCCTCCCCTCCCTCCCCACCCCCCCCCAGCTCAACCTACAAAAGCCCCCCTCTAATCTTTTCTTAAATGGAGGAAGGAATATCAGGTAAATAGCCTTGCTAGTGTGCAGCTACAACCAGCAACAAAGCGGGGCTGAGCATGTCAAACTAAGTGAGAGCTATGATAATCCAGCCCTTAGTCAGCAACTGCATGTTTTTTGCAACTAGCAACTATTTTCTTTTAAATATAATTACATATACACACACATGATTTCTTTATGTCCTGATTCCCTTGAGTGGTATTATAGTGTTAACTAATGTATTCTTCAATAATACAAAAATAGCATACAAGATATCTGCAACTAAAATAGACTCTCTAAAGCACCTTGGTTCTAAAATGTCTCAGGAAACCCTCAGGAATAAATACAACTGCAAGGCAAAGATGCCTTGCAATAATATACCCCACACACCACAAAGTGCTAGTTTGGATTAAGGAGTAGTTTGTGTGTCTGTAGAATTACAGAGCAAAATGAGTCAGAACTTGAAATCTATATTCCTGGACAATTTCAGTAATCACAACAAGAGCCGTTATAAGAGTTCTAAGAGTCATTTTACCCTGAAATGTATACCATTTCAGAAATGTCACATACCCTTTCTCTGCCAAGTAAGAAAGCTGAAAATACTTTAAAAGGGTGTGTTTATACTACGTTCCAGAATGTATAATCTTATTTCTTGTATTGTTTGTGGCTCATTTTCTATTTTGTAGGAAAACATCAAAATGACACATGATTGTGAAGTGTTTAATAAACATTTGATCATGAGCATATCAGTATAGTTAATGGTACATGGGCACAATGTAGTTAGTGGGGGAGTGGGCCTCTAGGAAATGTAGTATAGAATTTGCCTAGGAGGAGCAGAAGCTCTTAAGCCACCATTTTAAGCCACCATTGTACCCCCCTGATCCTGGAGTGCTGTGTGGACTTTCTTAGTTATTGCAGTCAGCCTGCAACTATTGTAGTGCTATTAAAAGTGTCTGTAGTGTTATGAATCACATCCCTGACCCCATCATTCCACTTATGCTCGGGCTTCCAAATGGAAGGCAGTTGGTAGCTATATTCCTCAGTTCCTGCATTTTGGGAAGCTCTCCCTTGCTTGGATCCATGACTTTTGAGTTCCTCTGTCTTGACCTGGCCTTTCATCTCCAGAGCAGAGAAGGGAATCTCAGCCAGTCCGACAGCTCACATGTGTTAGTACTTGTGAATCATTTGTAGAATCAGGCTTAAACCTTCAATTTACTCTTGCTTTTCTGGGTTTCAAAATATCAATATATTTTCAGTACAGAATATTAATGTTGTGCAATATCATTTGTGTTCATGCATCATGTTGTCTACTTTCTCCAACCTCTATCCCAGATCTGGTGCCTAGGGAATGAGACTCGATTTCACATCAACAAAACAGTAGATGCAGCCATTCGCTCTGTAGTGATAGGTGGCCTATACCCAGGTATTCAGTACCGAGTGGAAGTTGCAGCAAGTACCAGTGCAGGTGTTGGAGTAAAAAGTGAACCACAGCCCATAATAATTGGTAAGTGATCGTTTATTCTGTTGTTTTGTTTTGCCTGTTTAGGTTTTCATAAATGCTTTCATAAATCACATTGGAAGGCATAAAAATCCACGGAGCAAAAGACTAGGTGCAATTCAATTTGAGCTATCTATTTAACTTTAACTGTACCACTGCTTGCCTCTTCTTCTGTATAGTTTTCACACTTAATAAGATGAAGTAGTTCTTCCTCCCTTGAAACATATTAAAAAACATAGATTATCTTGTGAAGCTGACTTAATACTTTATTATGAATTTACCATTCCTGCAGGTTGACAGATTTATAGAACTAGCCACTAAAGCTTTCTCCTTATCCTGTTAAGATGATTGTAATATTGCCTTATTTACCCTGCTGGTGCCCTAGGCACTGTATACAGTTGGTTTTCTGAGTATCTCAAGTCAGTATTTCCCAGCTATCCAAGCAGATGGGTTTACTTCTGCCAAAGAAAAGCTGCATGCAGGCAAAATAGAGACGAAAGCTGGAATTATCATCTTTTTCTTTTGAAATGACTGTTTTTTATTAGGGTTTTCCATGGTGGATCTGTTTCCTGACCTGAGGGAAACCTAGAACTTGATACCTCTGAAATTCTTTTAATGTGTACCATGGGGAGGGTGGCAAAGGGCAGGGATGGGGGGGGCACGTGCAACAGAAATGAACTAAGATATTTTGCTGCTTTAAAGTGATTCAGGAGTTTGGTTTACTTGTATTAATTCAACGTGTTTTTGTCATTACAGTTTTGAAGCTATTTAAAAAAATGTGCTGTTTCTGATATTCTTGATGCTTTATAACCTCCTCACCAGCACTGTTGGGACTCTCAGCAAAGACTGCTAGATAGAGAGGGAAATGAAACATAAGCAGTGTCTCACATTTAGGACATTCAATTTGGCTGGGTATAGACATTCAAAAAGCCTGAGGCAAAATTGATCTACGTTACTTGGTTTTCTATAAGCGGCATACTTTAAATTGTTAGTAAACAGAACACACATTTGCCCTTTGGTGGGGGGCAAATCTTAGACTGGGTTCTGCCATATTTAAGCCAGTCTACATGTGCTGAACATTAGGGGTGTGCGAAAAAAGCCATATTCGATTTGGATTCGGATTTGGCCCGAACTGGGGACAGTGATTTGATTTGTTGATTCTGATTTTCCCCACTTGGATTTGGCCAAATCTGAACCTGAAGATCTGATGCTGATTCAGAGAATCTGTGTTTTGGGCATAGACACAGCTTTAAAAATGTTTTCTACATATGTTGAGCTACCAGGCACAGCTCGTGAACGCTGTAATGCTGGAGCAGATGGAGCATCCCACAGGAGTGCGGGGGGCCCCCCAGCATGCTCCCCGGCAGATCCGGAAGTGAGCCAGAAGTGCTTCTGGTCCACTTCCAAGTCTGCTGCCGAGTACACTGGGGACCCCCCTGTGCTCCTGTGAGATGCTTCATCCGCCCTACCATTGCAGGATTCACGAGCTGCCTGGTAACTTGAGGTATGTAGAAAAAACATTTAAAGCTGTGTCTATGTCCAAATCATCGAATCTCTCCAAATCTCTCTGAATTGATTCTGAGGTTTCCGATTCAGTTCGGAGAGATTAGAGGGTCTCCTGATTTGATTCGGACTCAGAGATATGGCCACTGAATTGGGACGAATTTCTGCCGAATCGAACCAGCAACTGAAGCTTCTCGCAGCCCTACTGAACAGCTCTTCTGTAATGGGTGTCGACCAGTTTTGTGTGTCAAGCTTCTGTTCTCTTACAGTTATAGACCAGTTTCCAGTCACTTATACTGGTAAAAATGTAATGTCTGTACTTGACCTTAGGTTGGGGGGATGCAGGGGCAGAATTCAGAAAGCTAGTGTGCCACTGAAATATTATTTACGTACTCAGGTTATTTACCTAGAAGTAGGGAAATGAAAAAAATAGATTTATTTATTATTAAGTGTAAGAAAGGAGATGAATATATAATACTCTGCCTTTGGGAAGATGCAGTTCACTGGAGGCTCATAGGTCAATAAAATATATGATAAAAGGGGAAGGGGGGGAATTGCAAGACTGAAAATAAAGAATGGAGTTACTACAAAGACTTTGGGGAGACTCTTGCTTTCCCCTCTAGTTTATCTGAATTTGTGCCCACTGCTTAAACCATCCATACCAAGAAACTGGACTTTTTAGGTCAGTTATTAGGTTTGAGGAACCTTTTTTTTTCTCACAAATTACTATAGTAAGGGGTCAATCCTGCAAGCTGCTCAGCATCCTGGTCTGGTTCCAGCAAAGCACTTAGACATGGGGTCCCCTTTAAGCAAGTGAGCAGTTCTATTATGTCATGTTACTCACTTGCTGCACATTAAACATGTACTAAAGTGCTTTGCTGGATCCTGGCCAGACTGCTCAGCACCTTGAAGGATCAGGGCCTCAGTCCTGTCCTCTTTCTTACCAAAATGAGCTGAGAGTCGTGTTGTAGCATTTACAACAAAGAAGGGGATAGGACACAGAATGTTACATTCTGCACAGGAAAATGGCACAGAGACTTTGTGTTTGTTCTTTGCTAAACTCATGCTAATATTTAGTGGTTTCTTTAATCATCTCAGGATATTTGCTTCAACCACCTTGTCTGTTAGTATCTCTACATATTTAAAAACCCTTTGAATGAAAGCTGGTTTTCCTTTTTATTTTTGTGTATCTAAAGCTGTACCTCATGTTTTTTCTTTGGGTACCATCTTCTTGTTATCTATGAACTAAGTTGATATTGTTTTAGTTGATATCGGTGTGGTTTATAAAGGTAATGGTCTTAAGGTAAAGGACTCCTGAAGGAACATAACTTGGCTGCACATATCATCTTGATTAAGACATTAGCACAATACACAGTCAACAGGGTTGATTAAATGAAATAAAACAAACGCTACTTGATGTGCCTCAATACCTTAATGTAAATGGGGTATTATTATCAAGTAGTTACATTTTAATGAGATTAGTTCTTAGTTATTTATATTTATAACAGTGACCCTGCAGAAAATATAAAATCAATACTGATCAAGTTTGGAGATGGCACAAATCTTCTGGCAGTCCCTCACAGTCGAAGATGATTGTCTTGATTGTCTTATCTGTGTGTTGAAAGATGGCTGATGAGGGTTATCTGGGATTGACAGACTCTACTGCAGCTTGGACGTGTGTTTGTGTGTGGGGTGGGTGGCACTGGATTATTGATTTGGTCAATAATCCAATGCCACCCACTGGATTATTGACCAAATCAAGTGGTCAATAATTCCAAATTGATTCCAAGTGGAATCAGCAGAAACACACTGTTTCTGCTGATTCCACTTCTCCAGTTCCTGTTGTTGTCATGTGGTTTCTGAGATTGTGAAGTTCTGAAATCCCTGCAGCAGATTCTTCCTCCATTTAGGCTGGTCCTGGGTGATAGTCTCCCATGAATTGACATTGATGTTGCATTTTTTAAGTTGGCCTTGAAGACATCCCTGAACCCAGATGACACAAATACTGAAGGGGTGACAAAAAGAATCCCATGAAAACTCATCTAGACCCTCATGGCCCCCTGGGAGCCTTTTCCTCTCAAACTTCCCCTTCCCCCACAACAGTTCTCCTCACCCTTCAGAGCCCCTGAACATGGGGCAGTTGGGGGCAGTACTGAAACTGCCCTAGCCACTGCTCCTAATGGCATGCCCATTGGCCTTCTTCCTCAATATACGGAAGCAAAAAGTTAGGTTTGTGAGAGGACTTGCTTCAGCTGCTGGCAGGGTCCCTATGCATGAGACCCGGCCCCTCTCATCCACTCTCTTGTACCTCTCATTCAGCCTGTCATCCTCCATCATCTGCGACAATGAATGACACTGGAAAGGGCTGTTGTAGTAACTTATCTCTTTACATCACCGTTGCAGCTCGTTCCTGTCTCTGACCGGTATGCCATTACACACCTCATCCTGCTTTTAGCCATGATCCCCCTCTTCACTGTGTCTGATTTTTGTGGGTTTGAACCCCCTAGGAATGAATCTCCAGGTTCCTGGTTAGCTAGGGGGAAAGCAGAAGAACATTGGAAATACTAGGGAGTGAGCTGAGGATCATTACAAGAAGCAGATAACAGAGAGGATAATTGTAGAAGAAAGGTGCTAGCTTGACTAGAGGAAGGTCAACAGTTAACATCTATGGAGTGAAGAGATCAGCATAAATCAAGTAGATAATGAGCCATGAAACCAGTTGACTCCCTTAGGTCCAACTGAATTGAAATGTGGCTATCCCTACCAAGCATTTTGTTTTAAACTTTCAGTGGAGTTGGAAACAAAGGAGGGTACAACTGCACACACTATCCCCGACCTGCCCCCCGCTTCCCCATATCTGCCCCTGTGTAAGGACAACACAGGAGACACCATCCTAGGAAGGAGTGACTCTAAAAATGAATGGCGTGCCATGGGGTGGCACTCCATGGCACTCCAGTCACTCATGGGGTGCCATGATGGATAATGAGCTGCATGTAACCTCCTAGTCCAAACCTGTGGCTAGAAGTGCTAATACAGTTCTTGAATAGTTGAACAGGGGAATATCAAGGAAGAAGGTTATGTAACCTATGTATTTAGCACTAGAACTGGAATGAGATGTTCTGGTGTTCACACTCAGAACGGAGGCTGAAAAAATTGGTAAGGGTTTGGAGGAAAGTGACAAGAGGCATGGCAGAACTGGAAAGTATACCTTAAAATTACAAACTCCAGAAGCTCAAACTATTTAAGATGAATGGTGACTTGTTCAGAGTTTGTACATACCAAGAAGGAGAACATGTTTGATAATTTAAGGCACTTCTCAGTCTTGTGGACAAAAGTATAACCAGTTCCCATAGATAACATTTGAAGAGAGAAAAAATCATAGGCAAATTTTTGGTAGTAAGGGTAATTAACTAGTAGAAAAAGTTACCAAGGCTTGTGGTAGAATATCCATTATTGGATTTTTTAAAATCAAGATTGTTGCTGTGTTTGGGGATTTTTTTGTTTGTTTTTGTTTGTTTGTTAGTTTGGGGGGTTTTAATGAAATTATTTAGTTCAAGCATATCTAATAGAGTTGAAGTAAGAATTAATTCAGGGAAGTCCCATGGTATTTGTTATGCAGCAAATCAGACTACACGTTCATAAGTCTCCTGGAATTAAAACCTAACATTTTCAACTGCTTTCCAAATACATACCTCTGAGCAGTTCATGTTCCCTAAGTTCAAGCAGAATTTATTCAATCTGGGCTTACAGAAATAACTATATTTATCGAAGTTGCCTCATTTATGCCAATGGGACAATTCATGTCTGAGAAGTTATTTATATATATGTTCAGGGAATCACATTTTGATAAAGACAAAAGAACCACAATGTAATTTTCTTGTTTGGCTGGTTAGTCATCTGCATGATGGTGGTTCAGTGTCAATTTGCTGTTCTTATACCTTATCCATATATATAATGTAAATTTGTCTTCCCTAAACGAATTGGAAACTGGTAATCTATAATTGCTATATTGTCACTATACTTTGGTTACTCTGGTCTAAGAAACAGAAAAAGTTGTGACTTGAGTTCGTTCCATGACCTGCATGTGTCAGCAAGGACCGTGAAGTTTTCACAAAGGGACATATGTTGAAGCGTGTATTTCTAGGCTAGAAAATAAATTTTTCTCACCCACATTTCACCCACATTGATGATGATAAATATGAAGAAGTATTTTGGATTACAAGAAGAAATAAAATTAAATCAAATCATAGTATTGGTTAATAATATGGCTATTATTTTCACTAATCAGCTGGCTTGTTCATGCTTACATTCCTTCGTTCGCATAATAATATGAGGAACAGCTGCAAACTTTCACAGTAATAGGTGCAATAGAATCTGATGTGTCTAATTAATTTTTGGTCCAACAAATTAGTTTTGTTCTTCATTACTCTCCAATGGGAGGAAGACATTATATTTCATTATATTTTTTTCTTCAGGAACAATGGAGCGTTTCAGGTCATACACATCCCTTGTCTGTGTTCTAATTAGTTGAACTGACAGCATTGTTACAGAAACACCTGCAGTATATGAAATAGTACCTTGGATATATATATTACTTCTGATTAAATATCATATAAAGAAATACAAATTTAATGTCATTTGGTCTTCAAACCCCTTACAATCACATTCATTTTATTGTACATCAGTGGGAAATATATATCTGTATACATTTAGTTCTCAGCTACTGAATTCACAAAGCGCATGTTATTTTGAAATTTAAATGAATTATTACTTTTGCAAATGTAATTGCTTAGGACTGAAGGGTAGAACAACAGGCAGTCAAGTAGCTAACTTCAGAACTTAAGTTGACCTGATTCAGAGATAAATTGTGCTTTGGTTTGGAAAAGCCCATGGAAGAAAATAAAGTCTGTCAGAAACTCCCCCAAAGTTCTTTACACATTTTTCCTACATCTTTCACTCATGGAGGGCTTTTAACCTCAGGAAAAGGCAGGATGTCCAGCATACAAACCCCTAGTGGTCTGTAGAAAAACAGGGTTCTTAACCTTCAATCCAAGATCATCTATTCATGAAGCAGTATAGTTCCTTGAAATTTCTGAATGTATGTAATTGGATCTCCCTTTCTCAAACTGTCAAGCATGCAGTCAGTCTTCAGTGTTTTGGCCTCCATTCTTTTTTTCCTATAGATTTCTTGTTTTACTTCTCTTCAATGTAAGTTCAATATAAAATTGTTTATGAGAGAACCACCAGACCATACCAAAGTCCTTCATCAAGATCTATTGTTTGACCATCCAAGACAGATGGTCCTAAGTATTAACATGATTACTAAGTATTGACATGAGTGATCAAGTAGGAAAAGCTTAATAAAATCACAGATTATTATAAACATTTAGGCTATATACAGAAAGTCCTAGAGGCTGAGGCTGAATCAATTCAGTCTTTGCAGGTTAGTCAAAGCAGCCCAGATTAAATTGAAACAGAAATGAACATTTACCATTGATTCAAGAAATGCAGCCCCGTGCCTGCAGTGGCTCAGTCCAGAAGCCAAGGGGCACTAAAGCATGGCTCTCTGGAATGTAGCCAGCATGGGCTGTGTGTTCACTTCCTCTTCCTGCTGCCCCCAAGGTCTCTGGGATTTGTAGTCCAGAATCATAACAGTAGGACTCTGCAGGATTGCTCATCACTTCCTCTTCCTGCTTCCCCATGCCTCTGGGATTTGTAGTCCACAGTTGCAGCCAGCAATAAGTTTGAGCAGGGAAGGGTGTTTAACCCCTGCCCCCGCCCCCAGAGCTAAACTGGTGTTTGCTGGGCGGGGGGCAGAGTCCCCCCACCATAAACTAGGCTGCATCCCCAGCTGAGCTTGTCTCCCACCACCCTTTTGTCAGCCAGCCCATGCTGCTCCAGCTTGGGAGAAGAGGGATGGGGCCAGCCCCGCTATCTAGAGCAGATACCACAACCCAGCCCAGGACTGGAAAGCATGCTTGGATGCTGGGGGACTGTGATTTAATTTGAACCAGGAAAGGGTCTGGGACAAAAGTTTTATAAAACAGTTTGACCCAAATCAAGTAAGTCTGATACTACATTCAACCAGGTTTATCTTAAACCAATTTCAGTCATTTTGAAACTGTTTTATGTGCACTGAGCTTCTGTTCTGTTATGGGTTTAAATCAGTTTCTGATCACTTAAACCGGTTTATGTGCAACTTCTGTCCCTAACCTTAGCAACATAGTATATTACATCACATTTTTTAATTAGTAGTTTGACCCAAAGTCTCAGGACAGTGGAAGGCCTAAAAGTGCCCTACTTACTTTAGGCTGCTGACAGATGTGAAAAAAACAAAATAAAACAGTGCTTTACCAGAAGCGACATTGCATCAGTTTTGACCTGGCTCACTCACCATCTGTAAAGATGGCGTGCTTCAGTGGGGCCTTTTGGTGCACCAAAAAGCCCTGCTGAAGCATGCCATCTCTATAAACATTAGGCAAGTCAGATCAAACTGACACGATGCCTCTTTTGGGCACATGCTGCACTTGGTGTGGGAATGCTTCGAGAGGAAAGCAAAGCGCTGGGTTTTTTTCCCCCTCATGTGTCTAAGCAGCCAGAGTCCAAGCTGTCATTGGCATCAGTGCACGGGGAAAGTTACAGCATGGTCAGTGAGATAAATAAAGTGAGGTCATGTTCTCATAGTATTTCAATTTGGTTCTCTGTATGTAGCTATACACAGTGGTGTAAAGAACACTTAACAGAAATAAGAATTGGACCCTTGGTCTTTTCTGTCATGTATCTACTTGAGCTAATGACCTTATTTATCTTAGACTAGAGCCAGTATGCTGACACAGCACCAGTTTTGTTCCAAGAAGTGAGCAGTAAATTTAACTGAATTATAGAGTACATACTTTTTCACAGCAAGGCATATTGCTACACTATTTTTTTAGCAATTTGCCCCCAAATAACCATGTAATTGTTTATTGCCAAATATGTTCTACTTCCTAGGTATATGGTAGAGTCCCTTAATTAGCATTTTGTAATATAATGTTCACAGCACCACATCCCTCTCCTCTATGTGAACTCAGACATTTGATAACACTATCAAATAGTGTATACCTATCAAATAGGTATAAATGTCACACCATTCTTTTTTAATAGTTTTTTAAATCTGATAATCACATGATATTTTTATGACTCCTGAATTTTTGACATCATGCGGCTCAGTATGGGAAAAGGTTCCATATTTGGAGAGAGTTACTTTAACAGTTGGGGATTCACAATATTTGGCAGCCCAGGAACTTCATACTTCATATCTCCAGACAGCAATTTAGATTGAGTCTGCGCTATCAAGCTAGAATATCTAGTTGAATTAGAATCAGAAAAAAGAAAATTGGATACCTGTAGGAAGTCAGATATCTCTGAAGTAATAGACATTCTGCACTCATGCTGCACATGAGTTTTGTGGCTTTCACACATTTCATGATTATTAAGATAAATCAGGATCTAATGTTTACTTCCTAATGCCTAATATAAGTAAAGCGCGGAGAGTCACCTATGTTTTAGGTTATCTAAAGGTTTCCATTATCAAAGCATGTCTTTAGAAAGTTGTGAGATTGATTATGGCACCATTTTCTATCAGATTGTCATGGATGAGTTCTGTATGCCTTTTTTGCTATGGTCTATTAAAAGGAATAATCCATTTTTTGAAAAATACTTTTTGTAAATAACCTAGCTTGCCATTATTAAAAAAAAAATCTCTCTTAGAGGTTTTTGTTTGTTTCTTTGTTTTGGGGTTGTTGTTTTTTTTGGAAAGATCTAGTACTCTCAGAAAAAGAGTGAAGTGATAAAATTGGCAGGCATTTAAAGCATCTGGGAAGTGTCCATTGACATTGAAATTTTGTATTTGTAGTACATTTAGACCTTTCACTTCGAAAAGTCATCAATTAAATAATCCACTGACTTCTTGGAGGAGGCACTTTGATTGGTAGCAACTCTTCTTTCATTCTGCCATGCTTCTTGTATAAATACAGGGAAAATGGTACAAATAAAGGGAAGAGAAGGTAAGGTACCACCTATTAGCTTAGTGGAGACAGTGGTATAGTGGCTGTCTTCCCATATATGTTTGAAAAAGTGTAGTGGAGCATAGTTTCTCTTGCTAGGAATGTTGCCTTCAGATCTGTGCTTGAATATCCTGCAAACCTACACACTGACTCCCACCATGTAACATTCTTTTAAGTCACATTGCTGTTTTTCCTTTTCCCTTGAAATATTTGATCCCTTGGTTCCTTGTTTCTCTACACTGTACCTAATAAATATGGTGTATTGATGTTCCTTTGTGCAGGAGGCCGTAACGAAGTTGTCATCACTGAAAATAACAACAGCATAACTGAACAAATCACTGATGTTGTCAAACAGCCTGCCTTTATAGCTGGCATTGGTGGTGCATGCTGGGTAATTCTGATGGGTTTCAGCATCTGGCTGTATTGGCGAAGAAAGAAGAGAAAGGGGCTCAGCAATTATGCCGGTAAGCACGGTCACTGTTCATTACCAACTCCTCAGGTTCCATCATAAAAGCACAAGTGGTTTCAATTCGAATTAAATGCAATAACAGTTACAATGCTGTTTTTACATAAAGGATGGAATGGATGAATGCTGTATGCTGTAAAAATGCCAGTGTATGAGAAGCTTGAAATGCATTGCTCTCAACCACATTTGAACTGCATTTCATCATATCATAAGACAACTTTTATGTTGGCATCTCCAGCACATCTAGCACAGTGAAGGAACAAATGAGGAATAACTCTACCACACACCCAATTCTTGTTGCAAAAGGCCCCTCCTTCTGAGTTACTCACTTCAGTTTTTAGCCTGATGATGACTTAGACCCCATTACCCACCTGCAAAGGAAAGGAGGAGAGAGAGTATGAAATCCCTTTCTCCTGTACTTCCATGTCCTCCCCAGACATTGGGTTCGGGCAAATAGAGGTAAGGAAAACAAACAATACACTTACTCCCTATTGGAGCTGGTAGGTGGAGAGTGCTCACTGGAATGAGCTGAGCCTTGGCTCCGTGCCGCCTACCCACTGGCACAACTATCTAGAGGCAGTGGGAGTTTGGGAGTAATTTACTGATAAACAAGCCAGAAAGTAGTCGAGGGGGGTGTTTCTACAGCGTGGTGCACTGTACACATGGCATTTTACTCAGAGTTGTTTCTCTTCTTACAATATTGCTTATGAGAACTAAGTTTGGGAAAGGGAAGGCCTCCTTATTCAAAGCTTTGCCAGGACTGAAACCCTACTGAGATATCTCAGGTTTCCTGTGGATTGTTAAACAGTCGAAAAGATAGATAAATAGTATAGAACTACATAGGAATCTATTCTCATTGATGCCTTCTTCTACTACTCCCAATTTCATAGCAAATTTTATACAAAAAGAAAATATATAATACATTCATTGATTTTAGCACAGTATTCACCCTATACAATTTGAGTCAGGTTTGCACTATATGCCACTGAATCCTGTTTACTGAAGATATTATTATGCCACGCTAAACTTAACACCAAAATCCTGTTGATTATGAGTTATGTAGCAAGAGCCTAGGGACCATGTGGTGAGGCTACATTATTAATAGGCAATGCTATTTGCACATGGTGCTCTTTCTTCCCTTTTAATTAATAATGAGGATAGTTTCTGTTCTCTGAGATATTTTGTTAATTCGTGCACACAAGTATAAGTGGGGGAGAGTGTTTCATACACATGCAAGCATGCACACATGCACCTGCACACATGTGTATATACCTGTGCATATGGGTGGGTTTGTGTGAATAAGCATTTGCACACCTATATCAAAGTGGCATCATTCATCTTAAGAAAGTTATATCACCTTCTACATTTAGCTATGATAACAAAGCAAAAATTTAGCAGACTTTTTCCTCTAACAGAACTGTCATATCCTTTCATATTCTTCAAATGAAATAGTTACTAAACCTACTCTTTTTTCATAAAAGGAATTATTAGTCCTGTATACGAGCTGTCATGAGCAGGGCCTTTAAATACACAGCTCTAAATGACTGCAAAAAATTGTTGTCCACTGTGAGTCAGTCTTCTTTCATGATGTTTGCTGCATCTACATGTTGTATGAACATTGCATTGTGACAGAATTCTCATTGAAATGCTGTATGCTCTTAATGAAATCAGATGAGACTATGTGGAAGAGTTTATGCTAACAGTTATAAAGGAGAGCTGGCATGTTCACCCAAACTAACTTCCATCAAACACAATTGTCAGAATTCACTAGTCACCTTTCTTCAACCCATTGGCTGCTGGCTGGCTAGTGCTTAAAGCTCAGTTGTAATGCTCTGCATATATGATTTAAGCCACAGAGGAGTGAATTCCAAAGGAACCTCCTGCCCTGTAATTAGTGCTTCTTAACAGGCTCTGTAACTCACTGTGTGTTTGCTTTCTTGTTTTGCAGTTCAGTCCTTCACCTTCACCCCTGCAGGTACTGTCCATTAGTCTGTCTCTTACCTCACCAACATATCAATGCAACCATTAGCTATTTTATTTAAGTGTTTATTATCACTGAGGGTATGCAGAATTACAACCAAGTACAAGGAGAAATGCTCCTTCTGCTTATTTGTTGGAATAAATATGGTATTGAATTTGCTAGTGATTCCAGGGGAAGGCTGCAATCTACCACAATTACCCTTTTCATTATAATTCTGCATATTTCTTACTTACCCAACCCTTCTAAACTGTGCTGTTTTAGAAGGTAATGTGTAGGGTAATACTCAAACTAGCATAATAATCTTAGGCAAATATTGGGTGCCAAGAGCTACATTTTGCTCCTTGGGCTCTTTGCATTGAATTTGTAAATATCTCAAGGCCTCCACCTCTGACCTGAGAAGCAGAACTTATGCAAGGTTCCATTTTTTGCTCTGCATGGATCTGTCTTTGCTTGGGTTTTCAAATATGCACTTATGATAAGTATAGCTCGTGATTAACCCAGACCTGCATACCCATCCTAAGGAGATGTTTAAAGTATCTTAAAGTCTTTTTATTTTTATTGAAGTGTTTGCCTTTATTTTTCCTCTTGTCCAACCAGAGCTGTCTTCCTTATCAATATAACATACAGTAAACCATTTTAGTCAGTATGACTAAAGATTTGTGAAGTTTGGCCAATATATGTATGGTTAAGAGAGTACATATGGTTAATTCTGTATTACTCAAATATAAGACAACCCTAAACATAAGATGACCCCTGAAAAATTAGATTCTATATATGGAAAAGTTATAAATTTGTTATCATTTTCCAGGTGTAGAATCTAATTATTGGAGGTTTGTTTTGAATTTTTCCCAATTGCACTTCTACAGCAGAGAAAAAAAAATCTGGTAGGTCAGGTATCCCCCTTTGCCCTCTGTCACACTCAACTTCTCCCCCCTGCAGCCGCTTCTGCCCCCTTTACTGTCAGATGCTACTCTCCACAAGCACATGGATGTGAGGGGAAAATCTGAAAACAGTAACTTTGCAACAAAATACCTGTAGTAATTTGCACATAGGTAAATTACCATGAGTACCTATAGACTCGGTTCATCCAGAAGTGATGTATTTTACCATTTTGTGGAAACAGTCTTACTGTTCCACTGTGTGGAAACACTTTTAAGCAGCATTTATGTTTTTTTTTTTATATATATATATATATATATA